ATCGGTTATCCCTGTTTTTTTTTGTTTTTTTCTTTTTTTTTTTGATGTTTCTGTACCATTTCCTTTTTTGTTACCACCATTATTATCGCTTATGTAGTGGGCTATATAGCAATAAAATTGTTTGGAAAAAAAAAACATTCACGTGCTCGTTCCATTTTTTTTTTTCGTTTCGCCACTCCTTTGAGCATCGGCAGCTTGCAACTCTGCCGATCGTGCAGACCTGGTGACCGATAGGTCGGTATGGCCCTGGTGGTTTTTTCTTTCACCGATATCCGTGAGAAATCTGATACGGGCTTCCATCGGGTACTCGTGTTTTCTCCTTGGATCAGTAATTGCACCGCGTAGGGAGAAACGGGGTGCGGGTTTCGACGCCGAACGTTTTTCGCTTTCGCAGATATCCTTTCCTCCACGAAAAACTGCAAATGTTTTCGCTTCGGGGGAGACCTCTCGGACGCACCTCATTTTTATTCCATGTTGCACATAGAGGATCGGGAAAGTCTCGAAAAGGAAAGCGTAAAAAAAGATTGCATTAGCCTCGGAAAGGTGTGCATTCTGTACAGCCCGATTCTATCAGCATTTTCCGCAGCGAGAGGTATCTCCTCTCTTAGCCAGAGGGGCAAGGACGCCTTCCAAGGACAAAAGGTCAGGCGGAAGGTCGAGGCGATTCTTTTGGGAAACTGTAGAGTGAAAAGTCCTCCCCGCCTTTTGAACGTTAATAACCTGTCAGCGTTAGATCTAATGGAGATTTGTTTTCACCATTCGAAAGACAATTCTGTGTCTTAGGAAGGATTTTTGCAATCTTTTGCTGATGGTATCCTTTAGAAATGAAATTCTTGTTCTGATGGTCATTTAACTGCATTGACTCCTGGAAACACGCTTGCGACGCCGTCTTCAATTGTCCGGATCGGGAAATACCTGCTTCGATTCCTGTCAAAATTCGAGTCGATGCTGCCGATCGACCAGCGGTGGACGGTGTCTCCGATAAATTTTCTTGCTGAAATTTCGAGCGGTTTCCGTTGCAATCGAAGTAAAGCGGAACTTTTAAAAGTCGCTCATTAATGGTCAATCGTACCTTTTTCCTCATTTCTCCACGATTGAAAATGACCATAGCTAAGCAAATAGCTCTAACACTCGAACAGGCAATTTGTCATGGTGCCACCAGCTTGTTTTCAGGTGCCAATACCTTTTTTAAATAACCTCTAGAATAGAAGTTTTCCTTTTGAAGGATAACATAGGAAAAATAATGCAAAAGTTCATTCGATACGGATTTGTCGAGTCTTTCGAAACCCGCAACTCGATTAGATCTAGCTTTGAGAAGTTATTAACGTTTAAAAAGTTGGCCAGGACTCACGACTCACCCCGTATATATAGTCACGATAGAAAAACTAATATGTTAATATTTTACGCCCGCAAATTCACTCCCGCTCCGTGAAAAGTCGGACGGGCGGGAGCCGCTCGAAACTTTTTTGGCCCCTGATTAGTTTTTGCGGAGGCCCTCTTCATCCACGCTTTGGTGGGCCATTTCATTATCTGAGAGAAGAAGGAAGAATGCTTCGCGAGATGACGCTGCGCAGAAATGGAGTGCGCAGCCGAGATGGTTTAGGCAAAGCGCTGATGCCGAGAAGCACGCATTAATCCTTACCCCAATAAATGTCTATGCGCCGAAGATGCACATTCATATGGGAGAAGTGGATTGGATGGGGGAGGGGGAATTGGGTCGGAGGATTCATATGAAGCTGGCCCTCCCCATTCGTCAGGAAAACGAGCGAAGTCTATTCCCCGAAGTTCTTCGTCGCAGTTGCGACAGATGCAGTCGGGAAGCGGAGTCTCTGTCGTTTCGCTCCGGGCTCGGGTCGATGGAGGCCGACGGTACCACGGCTTGTGATTCGTCTTCGCGAGCTCCTTCGCTTCCGTGGCGCTTTACACTCAAGACGAAAGCTCTCGTGTGCACATTCGGCAGCGAGCCCGATCGACGACCGTAACTCGTTTCGATGGAAGGAGTGATGCTGAAAATATTGTGAGCTTGCGGCGAACTCGTCACGAGCGTGAAAAATCCGTGCCAGATCACGACACGATCGCGTGCGTGTCGAAACGATCTCTCATTCCGCCTGCAGTTAACAACCTCATCGAGAGAGCAAAAGTATGAGTGACGCTCTCGAGTGCGACGGGGAAAACGGCACATGCAGCTTCCACTCCGCCGAGAATCTCCGCCACGGCGCGACGGTCACGGCGATCATTTGCGTGTCTTTCGCCGCGATCTTCCTCGTCGGCCTCGTCGGGAATTTGCTCGTCCTTGCCGCGATCGTCCGCGACCCCCGACTCCAAACGGTGACGAATCTCTTCATCGCCAACGTCGCTCTCGCCGACTTCGTCTTCGCTGTCCTCTGCGTTCCCAGTAGCCTCGCTGGCCATATTTTCTACGGTACATCCAATTAACCGCCGGGAAGATTCCCTCTCGCGGAAACCTTCCTTCCCACTCTTTGTTTTTATGTTCTGCTAATTTTTGCATGGCAATCCAGAGCTTTAAGTTATGCCTACCGTATCAGCTCGTACTAACACCGCTCTGAATATTTGTTGCTTTAGCTCGAAGGCGGAAAAACTGGTAGGCATCAATTCGACGACTAAACGATAGCACGAATTCTCAAGCAACGGATAACAAGCGTTGTATATCGAGCGGTGTCAGAACGAGCGACAGAAAATCTGGGCAAATGCAGAACTGCGTTTTCCAAATATGGATCCACTCGCGAAAAGCCTGGACGATTCTATTCGCCTCGTGGTGCAATTCGCATCGCATTAACGTGGAAGCCCTGCCAGATTGAGAATTCACTCACAGGAAAGCGGTTCCGTAGGTGAATTTCGACATCGTTAGAAATTCGAAGAAATTGGATACATTGGCATCCCTTTGGGACAGCACCCAATTTATTATATGCCTCAGTGGTTTTCTATTCATATATAATATATATTCTGACGCTTGACTTATTTCTTTCTTACTCCCTTAAAAAAATGCTTTTTGGATTTGCAGAATTGTTGGCGAATTGGCGCAGAATTGTTGGCGTGGTTCCGGTGCAAGTTTTTGTCGTTCATCCAATATACGTCGACGGCGGTATCCGCATGCACCCTCGTCGCCGTCTCTGCCGACAGGTCTTCCGATTTCGAGAGTCTTTTCGTATATTGTGGAATTTTATCATGATGACGATTTCCGATCTTCATAACATAACGGGTTGCTGCCTTTGGAAACCATACCAAATCGGCATTTGCAGATTTCTCTTTAGGTCGAGTTGATCTGTCCTGGAGGGTGAACTCTTTTGGTCTCACGCTAGGCGTCGTGTAAACGAGGGCTTGTCAAACCCTTACGAAAATGTCCTATAGGAAACCTGCAGATATTTCTTATAGGAAACCCATAGACTTTCCTATAGGTTTTTGAAACACGAAAAACCTATAGGATCCTTTAGGATCCTATAGGATCCCTTTAGGGTCTTATAGGTCTCCTGACCTATAGGATTCGGGGAGGATATATTGGGTTTCGAAACCCAGGCATTACGACGGAAAAGGCGACCGGAATTAATAATGGCGCAGCATTTCGGTGTAAATCTAAAACCGATTAGGGGTTTTCCCATGGTAGGGACACGTGCATTATTAATACCAGTAATGGGGGGGTCTGCATAATCAATGGCCCTGCCGCACATGTGTCGCTGGATTGCACGTCTACTTCCTTCGGTAGGATGAAATAGTATTCCCCTCGACCTCAGGAAACAGAAGACAGAACCAGCGATCACGTCTCTTTACTAAAACTTCTTTTGGATAGAGTCTGCTCAGTTTCGTACGTGGTTTTCAAAAGGAATAAGGGCATATTTCTTCAAGGGACTCCATGATTATATCTGGAAAATGGGGATGACAAATAAGGAACTGTCGAAGTTAATTGATTGCTACAATGAGGCAAGGCGAGACATCTATAGGGGGATCTATAGGTTCTATATGGAACTCTATAGGTCCCAAACTGAACTCTATGGGCATATAGGATCCTATAGGATTCCTTTAGGTTCCTATAGGATTCCTATATATTCCTTTAGGAATATATAGGAACCCTATAAGACATTTTCGTAAGGGAAGAGTTCCTGGAAAAATTGACTTTTATTGTCAGATCCCCACGATTTTTTCATTTTTCATTCCTATGTATCTTAGTAGTTCTCCCTTTTAATTTCAAATCCCTGCGTTAAAATGGAGACTCGCAAGCGCGCGCCAAGTTTAACGAGTCAGCGGGTCTTGCCACCCTTGACGAACCGTGACAAACGCGCGCCAATTTTGGTGCAGTTTCGGCTGGGAAATTCGGCGGCACAGTGTTTCGAAACCCTTCAAAAGGCACTTGCGGACCAAGCTCCATCCCAGAGCACTGTCTACAAGTGGTTTGCGCGCTTTCGATCTGGCTCCTTCGGCCTCGAAGACGATCCCCGTGAAGGTGGTCCAAATTTCACTGTCACTCCAGAGAACATTGCCAGCATGAAGCGACTCCGAGACAAGAACCGGCGTATCACCAGCAGGGAACTAGAGAAGCTCGTTGGGGTGTCGCATGGCTCGGTCATCGAGATCCTGCACGAGCACCTTCGGATGAGGAAGGTCTGTGCTCGTTGGGTTCCGCACAAGCTGAAACCGGATCACATGAAAGCTCGTGTGAACTTTTGTGAGTTCATGCTTCAGAAGAATGGAGAACTACATACATACATAAGATACAAGATACATAAGAATACACAGTGAAAAAATCGTGGGGATCTGACAATAAGAAGTAACATTTTCCGGGAACACTTTGACCAACCCTCGTATTGGCAGCAAAAAAAATTGTGGATGTCTTTCACGGATCGGCTAGTATTTCTGAGTTACTCATCCCACCATTCCTTTATATATTTTTTTAAAGATTCGATCGAACGGAAATATTTAGTGCTGGAAATCATGTCGAATGGAAGACCGATGACTGTAGACGAGGAGGAAAAAGAAGTAACAGCCGATTCCTTAATGTGCAGGTTCCTGGCGATTTCCTTTCCTTCAAAGCCGCAGATGACGAAGAAGACGACGGCGGTCTGGATAGGAGTCATTTGGCTTCTCTCCTGCTGCATTTACATCCCGTTCCTCATCTACTTTGAGGTTCGTTCCTTTCTATTTACCTTCACCGTGTTTACCTCTTATGGGGTTACTCTTTCGTTCGTGTCACCGACCGGTATCTCAATGTCCAACGTTATTGGACCGACAGTCATTCGTTGCGGAACTTCTTTTGAAAACTCAACCTGCCGACCGAAATACCAGCACATTGTATGGGTGGAGAGGCATTGGGGCATTCACTCTCGTCGAGAAGTCTTTATTGGCTCTTACCTTGGTTGGCTCTTTTCTTGTTTCTTTGCAATAGCAGACTCATTACTGCAGGCTACAATTCGGGCCACACGTTCCGTGAGCGTTGAAATCTGTTCATTTAAAATTTTTGCGTCCAGGTAAACGGTTAGGTTACTTTCTTTTTTATATTAGGCACAAGAATAGTCAACTCGAAAAAGTTTTCCACGAGCTCATATTTTCTTTTATTCTGACTAATAATTAGACATATAGAAACTCCAGGGATGATACAAATTAAAAAGAAGGGTATTGCAACAATTTCATTCCAAGATTGCAAAAGGATTTCTGCACTACGGCTCTTTAACACTGTAAGAGGAGGAATTGATCGATGAAGCATTAAGCAACAGGAGGCCTGACGTTACGACGCGAGACTTTTGCAGGGTCTCAATTAGACAACCGAGGAAGGGATACCGTTTTTCGGAATGGCATTGTTTCTATTTCGTAGGATTAGAGTAGCTTACTTCGTCGTGAAAACTCACCATCTTGATGCACTGAGAAAGCACTGAAAGCACTGAGAAGTACTCACTTGGACTCTCCATGCAGATTGACGAAGTCGGGAGAGGTGCGTATTGCAGATTCCAGTTGCCGTCGCCGAAAATGGAAAGCATGTACTTATTTCTGGGGACTGTGGTCTACTGCTACTTTATCCCCTCGATCCTCATGTTCCTCTGTTATCTTGCCATATGGATCGAAGGTTCCTGGAGACGAATCCCGACCGACACCAGAGACCCGACCGTATCCCGGGTGCAGCAGAGGCCGGAGGAGGAGCCAGTATTAAAAGTGTTCGTAGTCGTCAGCATCGTCTTCTTCCTCTTCTGGGCTCCGTTTTACGTCATCATCTCTTTCCCCGAAAGCTTGATCTTGAAATACATACACGTCATCAATTACGTGCTCCTCATCGCCCTGTGGTTGGGTCTGTCCAATTCGTGCATCAAGCCGATCCTCTATGCCTTTCTCAACAAGAAGTTGCGAGACGGCTTCGTGGCCGTTCTCCAAACCTGCAAGTATTGTAGAACTCTGAGAGCAGATGATAACTCCACGGAATTAGCACCGAACCCAAGTGGGGAAAGGGGAGCATGTCCTTCCAATGATATTATTGGTGAAGCAATGCCTTCTCCCCCCAAGATTGTCCGAAATACAGCTAAAGTATGGAACTTCGGACATGCAATATAATACCCTCCTCTTTTGATATCCTTCTTGGGGAAAGAAAAAGTAAAATATAAGAATGACCTCTTCCCCGACTTAGTTGCATCCCTGCGAGGAGGTAAAAGGGAGAAGGGAGCGAAAGGGATAGCCTGGAGCGGACGGGTAGCCGCACTTGATTCTCCTGCGGAGCATGCTTTTCATATGGGAGAGGAGAGAAAAGTCGGCTCTGCCTCCCTCTTTCCCTCACGCGTCGCGTCTTATCCGTTCTTCTCCTCGGACGAATGATTTCTGTGGACTATTATGAATCAGTTCGAGTTTCCGATTCGTCGCTTCGTGATTCGAAAATCCCGCGATTCTTCGTCACGGCATGAAATCAAAGGAGGGGAATAAAGAGGGCAAGAAAAAAGGAAACGAGCTTGAACTTCACATCACCACCGATTCCCTGGCTGCACGGGAAAGATTCCAAGGAGCATCAACAAGTAGGAAGTTTCGTGTCGAATGGACAGGTCAGTGTCCTTGGTTCTTTTATAGTGCGGACAGAGGGAAAGCAACTTCCGTGGTTGGTTTAAAGTGTCACAAGCAAAAATTTTCTAACATTTTCCTGCATGCGAGACGCTTTCACTAGGTGTGATTTTGACAATTGGAAGAAGGCGCCCGTGCGCTTTGCCATCCATGCAAAATCTCAGTGTCACAAGGAAGGCGTCTTGAAAATGCTGTCATTGCTGGAAAGTGTCAGTGTTGTGAGTGGCATGTGAAAATTCGGTGTCATTTCATGTTCCTATATTCAAATAAATTCATGCCTATGGTCGTCAAACTCTCCTTTGAGCAAAAGATCATCATAAAAAAATATAGTGGCAAACACACAAGTTCATCACTCCAACGTTTCCACTCTGTAAATCTTTATAAACTATGGGGATTTATAGCGCTAAAATAATACCTATTTTCAGGCACAACGACTCTAACGAAGTTCCCTTTTCAAACCCTTTCGAAGGCTACATAATTTCTTAATTAGAAAATAAATCATTCCGTAAATGCAGCTGATAACATTTTCACTGCCAAACCCGTCATTTCCCGTGTTCACGAATCCTTTCGCATAACCTCTAACCGAAAAAGCCATAGCCTAGTAGGCCTCGCGCGTTAGGCTTAGGTCAGAATGGCCGTAATGTCCATTGCAGTGAAAGTGTTACCGATTTCGTTCCGTTGAAGAAAATGTTTGCACAAACTGTACTCAGCATTGACCTAAGCGTACGTAAGTGGATGGAGCATGCCCACTCTGAATTGCAATGTGTAGGAAAAACCTTCCTGCCCGATTCTTTGCTGGAAAACACTGTAGATGTAACCCATTCACATCAACCTGTGTCCTTCCACCTAGAGGCCAGGTGAAAAGACAACTATGACCTACAGGGCGGCCCAGAAGTAATAGGGCAGTGAGTGGTACAATCAGCAGTCACTACAATTTTATTATTTTATTATTATATTATTTATTATTATTTTGATTATTAATTTTAATTTTAATTTCAGAATCACTACGTATTAAGTTTTGCAAATAAAAATTGTAGTGACTGCTGATTGTACCACTAACTGCCCTATTACTTTTGGGCCACCCTGTAGAATGGCATAGGCCAAAAGGCCTTGCGCCTCGGGCTAATGAAGCAGGATTCTCGGTCAGACAGACCAAAAAGTTCCTGAATGGCGAATAGATCAAGATTGGTGTCGGCCTGGGCGTCCCTCCGAGGGTTTCATATAGGCCTACTAAATCAGTCTCCTCATGATACGCAACTTCCAAGTCCTACTCCACATGTAGTATGCAATCCAATTTAGTTATTTCATTTTCCTGTCGCTTCGTGGAAGGAAAGAAAGTGCATGAGAGTAGTGTTAAGATTAACACTTCGCGTACCGTTCACGGAGATCTCCGATTTTGAGTTTTTTCGCGAGTCCTCTTTGCATAGCCTACGGCCGAAAAATTCTTAGCCTTGTATGCATCGCGCTTTAGGCTAAAGTAAATGAGGTTTAGATTGGAGCGGCGGATCGACGGGTTGAAATGTTCACCTGTGCATTAGGCCAAGGCATTCGAAGTCAGTCCCCTTTCGATGCATGCACCGCCGCAGTTTGCTTCCTAAAGCCTGCAACTAAACAGCCGTCCGTGTTCCATTTATTGTAGGAAGAAAGTAAGACAGGTCTGTAAGGCTAAGTATCTAACCATGGGTTATACCTAAGCCTACGAAATATGCCCCCAAAGCATGTACCTCCGATGTCCGACTTACTCTGGTGACAGAAAAGTAACATGTTCCTATGATAACAAGTTCCTTTCAGCTTCGTAGATGGACGGGTATATATGAGAATGGCAGATGCCTAAGCGTCCTTCTTTGGGTTTGGCATAGGCTTACATCATCAGTCCCCCCAAAAGGTGCCCCCTGGTCATGTACCCTCAAAATCGGAATTTTTCTGGAGTCAGCAATCTAACAGCTATTCGCACGCCATATGACAACCTCTCTTCATATTTAGAGCACTGTTAGAATTAGCGTCAGTCAGTCGCTCACTATCGTTCATATACAGTGTGTATCATTTGTCAGGAATCGCAGGGTTCTGCGTCCCAGAGAGGCCTAACCCTGTGAACCTTGCGCATCAGCCATCACGAAGTCCGCTAGGCTAGGCCATAAATACTTAAAGATTCCTGACGTTATTCAATCTTTTAATGTAAAAGGTTACTTTTTGCATAATTGATTAGTAATTCATAAGGGTGATGTAAGCATTAGATAAGTATTCTTCAGATTGCGTACACTTCCTGCAGCAATTCGAAGGCCTTGGAAACAGATCTCTAGAAGCCTATGGAGACGTTTCAGTGAGGGAATTTTTACGAAGTAGGCGTTGCGAGCGTTTCTTTGCATCTCCATGTTCGAGAAACGGGAGAAGAGTGGCGTTTTCGTTGACCGGTGGAGACGCAAAACGGGCGATTCTGATTTTATAGCATCGAATCATAGAGTGTATATACAGGGTGCGTAAGAAGTTCTGTTACAAACGTTTCTTTGCCAAAAACAACCAAAGCAACAAGAACGACAACTTCAAGTGAAAATTTATTTAGTACAAAGTGTCAGTCAATGTTAGGAACCATAGCTACTCGAAATTTCCGACACGTTTGGAAATGCAAGCCTTCAATCGAGGGCAGAAAGCGCGTACTGCAGCACGCAGCTGATGCTGTGGAATATTCTTCCATTCTTGGACCAAAGACTTCTTAAGGGCTTCGATGTTGCGGTGGGCACTAGCCCCAACTCTTGTCTCCAAAATGGACCAAATAGAAAAATCCAGAGGGTTCAGGTCAGGGGAGCTGGGAGGCCATTGGTCCTTCGTAATGAAGTCCGAAATTTCATGATGAAGCCATGCTTGGGAAATGTTGGAAGTGTGTGCTGGCGCACCGTCTTGCTGAAATGTCCAAGCCTGGTTGCTGAACATGGTTTGACCCGCATGTTTCACTACTGGGTCTAGAATGAGATCTTTGTACATTGTACTGTTTATCTTGACCCCTTCAGGAACGAAAACCAGATTGGTGCGACTGTTGGCAGACACACCTGCCCAAACCATAACAGACTGGGGGTGTTGTGAATGAGGCACGATTAGCATATCGCCCGAGACATCTGAGATCCGTGGTGCGAGAATCCGATCATTTTGTCGATTGGAGACGGCCTGGATGGTGAACAATTTTTCATCTGAAAACAGGATTTTGTCCACATCATCAGCCGTGAACCGCTGCAGCAGGGCCTTGCTTCGTTGAAGTCCCAACTGCCTTGTGCGAGGTGGCAGCAGTTGCGCATGCTTGCGTTTGAGAGATTTCAGATGAAGATGTTTCTTGACAATAGTTCTCATGGATCCCTCTGATATGTGCATTTCCCTGGCCATCTTCCTCATGGAACGCCTGGGGTTCCGTTGAATTCGGAGAGCCACCTTTTTCACCATCTCTGGAGCCGTAGCAGACATTGGGCGTCCACTTCTCTCACGATCCTGGATAGAGTGGGTCTGCTGATATCGTTTAATGGTGCGATGAATGAACATACGATTCGTGCCTTGGCCTGAGAGGTCTTTGAATATCTCTGGTGGCGTTTTTCCGCTGAGATGAAGCTCAATGATGGCTGCACGTTGTGCATTAATTTTGGCACAATAAATGAATGGAACTGATGAGACCATTGCTTCATCTGCAACTTTAAGCTACATGTCCATACAAGTCACACGCCCATAGGCTTGTAAAAGATTCTACCCAGGAGACATTCTATGTGAGTCCAAAGTTTGTAACAGAACTTCTTACGCACCCTGTAGATGTCTCTGGAGAGGCCTTCGCTGCCTCGAGACCTACAAGTGCTTCCGCCTTCTTGAAGTCTTGGTGAAGTGGGAATGGAAAGCGTGATTGGTTGGGTCCCGGATTGGAGGCCCCCCAGGCAATATAGCTCGGGGAAATTTGCCTCTTTTGCCCTCTCGCTCTCTATGTGTCTGCTATGAACTCCTTGCTCGTACGACTTCAGTAAGATGGGGGCCGCGCCTGAAAGGGTGCAGCGCCTCGCGCCATAGGGGAGGCCCCTCCATTATACACTCTCTATGCATCGAATTAGCGTGAACTTGGCCAACCCGCTGCTTCTTCTGTGTCTCGAAGGGAGTCACATTACCGCGACGAAGCGCATTCGTTCCGCGCATCAGACCGAAAGTGGGGAAAATTCATTGCGCGTTTTGGAGGGTGAAAATTTCACGTTGTCGACTGCGCTGACCTCTAATTCGAAGAACGAAGAAGGGAGTCCGAGGCCGTGATCACTAGGTGTTTGTGCAAACCGACGCATCGATTTTTCCCCGGAATTTCTTTGAGCTTATCTTATCAAAAGACCAACAACTTTCCATGGGAAACTGTCACATTTCTCCTTATGTGTTTGGCCACAATGTTTTCCCTCATAAGAGGGCCTTCCGTTCGTGCCTTTCCATCCCTTTCGTTTCATCGTTCCGACCTTTCAGGCTTCGCATTCCGAATTCATCGTGCATGTTTCGGATGGGAAGACGATGTCGGGCACCGAGTTCAACTTCGAAAAGATCTCGACGAAACGAAAAGCTCGATGGATTCTTCAATTCCATCGGAGCTTCTGGTTTTCGCGATTAGAGGCGCAAAAAGAACACAAGGTAGAAGTCGAACGACGTAAAATGGTCAGGATCTTTGAGCTGGTCCTGCCGACCGGATCGTACTTCTCGGCGGTGGGACCTCATACAATTCATACAATTCGTTAAAATTTGTCTGAACTTGAACTTCCGCCAATAAGAAAAAAGCGTGGGTCACACCGAAAGTTTTTTAATTAGCTCACGCGAACTGAGGCAATGAATAAATATATTTTCATCTATCTGATGCACTTGAATGCCCAACGGCGTTCTTGCTCTTATGTTACTAAGCATATATTGGCGTGCACTCGTTGCCCTTCTTCCAGGAACGAGATGACCATGGACTGAGTTTTGTTATATTCATTATCTTTTCTCTCACTGTTTTTTCTTTCATCACAAGTGGATGGGAGGGAGGTTATGGTCGGCGCGGTAGAATTAGAAACAACGGTTTGATGCAGTATTTCCTCACCGTCTTACGGAACACGCGACGCAAAGTTTTTCCCGATCCGTGGGCAGGAGAAACGAAATAGATTCACGTGGAATATCAGCGTCCAGAAGCGAAGAGCTGCACGATGCGAGGAAATCCATATATTTTTGGCCACTAAGTCAATGTTATGCGCATGATTTCGAAGGATGGTCTCATTGGGATCATTTCTTTTTTAAAACGGAATCTCTAATGAGTGAATTTACGTTAGGTCATGTTAGTCCCCTAACGATTTTTGAAATTTTCTTAATGTTCTCAATTAGTTCCACTTATGGAACCTTAAGTAGTCTAATGTGGCACCGCCTAATGTTCCGAAAACCCTTTCGTTCTCCTAAATGGTTTCCCTTGCGTTCCGAAAGGCATTCTTTGTAATGACGTACGAATCACGGAATTCGGTGAAGGAATCATAGCACACTGCATGGTCAAACTACAAAAGCCATTTAGAAGGCAGCAGCTGATAGTTTTTATATTTTCGCGAAGGAATCTCACATTCACTGCCGGTTCAATCGAGACTGGGCTTTCCCAGTGCAGCGAAGCACGCCTTGGCGAACCGGTAGGACGCAAGCGCAACTTCCTTCTGCAGCGATAAGGAACGATATTAGCATGCATACAAAGATTAGATGTTTTTCCCGCTGCGGCTCCAGTTCCCCGACCGTTGCCGGACTCACGGTTGTTTCGCGAGAAATCCTCGGTGCAGTGCCGTTCCGCGGTTCTCGGGCATCTTAAAACCCTCACGAAAATGGCCGGCCAAGACCCGAAGAAAATATGCCTCATCGGCGTGACGGGAAGCGGGAAGTCCACCCTCGGAAACGTCCTCTTGGGTAGGAAGCACAACGAACCGATCGGCTTCGCGACGAGCCCCCTCACCCAAAGTTGTACCCTTGACGTCAAGGCGATCGACGGTCGCTGGCTCGGGAAGGGCGACGCGATCCGTGTGATCGACACGCCAGGACACGGAGACGCGGGGGGACGAGATAGCGCTCTACGGAAGGCCATCGTGAAGTTTCTCAAAAACGAGCGCACGATCGATATCTTCATCTGGGTGAAGAACTCCCAGCAACCGAGAGTCGATCAGCAGGAGCTAGATTACTTCAACATCATGATGGAAATTTTTGCGGGTGCTTTTTTCAGCAACTTGATTGTGGTCTTCAGCCGCTGGAGTTTCGACGTGAAACAAGAGAGAAAGCGCGAGGAGGATGGAATAACCTTCGATTTGATCAAGGAGGACCTCTGGAACTCCCTGACCAACTCGCGTGGGAATCCATGCCCCATAGAAATGTTCGCTGTCGATGCACGCCACGATGCAACAGATACCAAGGAGAAGTCAAATTTCGATAAGCAAACAGCGGCACTCTGGGAGCATATCGCTCGCTTCAGCGCCCAGCCAGTGGAGAGCATCGAGAGCGTGAAATCGAGAGTGGAAAAGCTAACTGAGTCGAAAAAAGAAGCCGAAAAGGAATTGAAACAGCTGCAAGAGAATATAAAGAACGACCGGGAGAATTGGGGTTCCGAGCGGCAGAAGTTACTGGAAGCGCGAATACGGGATAACGAGAGCAGGATCCAGGCGGAAAGGGCGAGACTCGGCGGCCCGTCGTGGCTGGACACCCTCCGCAGCGTCCTGCCCACCGTCCTCACAGTCATCGGGAAGATCATCAAGCTGGTCTTCCTGGTCGTTCCGTTGTTATGAATCGTCCTTGCGATTCGCGAGTGCACCGAAGAACCTGTTCTCTGTTGATGCATAGTCCTCGTTCCGCGGTGGTTTCATCTTGAAGGAATCTGTGAGAATACATTAGGAATGACCCAATGATCGTTAGGTTTTTCTAGTTCTTCATCGCATTCGGAAAATATGCCCTGTGGCAAAAAGAAAAATCTTCGAATCGACACATGGGTGATTAATAGTGGAGATTTAGGCATAGTTGAAAACGCCAAACTCTGAAACCTCTTTCAAAAAGGCAGTAAATAAAATATGAACAAGACGTTAGGTAAGGATAAATTCTTTCAGAAGTTTTTGATGGCTTAGATAAATTCATTAAATGTGCAGAACTTAAGGCGGGAATTCGTCCAAAAGCCTTTTTAGAATGGAAAATTTACATTATCAGACGCGTCACTCTCTTGCTACGCATTCTTCATTCATTCCAACGAGTTCCGAAACTTCATTTGGTATTAGCAAAGTAGAATTTGTAGACGCCCTGAATAACTTCTAGTTAAATTAGCAATCACAGTCATTGACAAGGCAAGTAACAACATCTGTTTCATCTGGAAGAGGTTATATGGTTTTGATAATGAAAAAATTTCTGAAATCCATAATATGAACAGGTTGAAGAAGGGCAACCCAGAATGGAAAGTTCTCTTATGAGACTTGATAGCAAATTTAACATTGAAGTGGCAGAGAAAAGCATGAAACCCCCCTTTTTGTTTGATAAACTTAAGTTCCATAAGAACCCCATTATATTTAGATTCATCGCAATGCTCAGTTTGCACCTGCTTCAAAGGACCTTCCCTCCTATTGAAGGCCATCCTGGACAGGCTCTGCAATAAGATTAAGGAAAAAAGCAAAACCTGTCACTGTTTCTGGATTATCAATAATAACAAAAAAGTTTGTTTAGCAATTAAGGCTCTTAATGACACCAAAGAAGCTTCCACTGTTATATCGCAGGATTTCTCTACACTTAATACTAAAATTCCTCTGAACCTACTAAATCATAACATTCTTGACCTTTTTGAAAATTATGTAGGAACAGGGCTTACCTTCAAATACACATTTGTGGACAAGGATTTCTTTTCTGACTTACTCAAGAACTTGAATGTTTGGAGAATAATTACATTCAAATAAGAATAATATATTTATGCAAAAATACCTATGGGAAGTAATTACTCAACCAACATAGCGAATCTCTTTGTTTTATTATGAATCTAAACACATGAACTAGGTTTCTTTTCTAGACGATTACTGTTTTACCTACTAATACATTGATGACCTCGTAGCAATTAACAATGCAAGAATACAGGCCGAAATCGAGAGCATCTGCTCGTATTTGCTCTGAAGTAGAGGGTTTCCTTTTTAATAGTCTGCTCTCATACCAGAGGCTATATGATAATTGTTATCAATAAGATTTCCTTATAAGGCTATTAAAACTTTTTTCACAACGATCCAAGTACGATCTTAAGTACGCTCCTAAATGAAGGAAATGGTCTAGCATCCTTTTGGAGAAGATTCATGGATATTCCCGAAGTTGGACCTGGCTTGGAAGACGGCCCTTGCTGCCCAGGTGTGACTGCAACACAGACCCGGCGCATGAATACTTTTCCTGTGATTGGGCTCTTTCCCATAACTTTTGATTTTATCCTAAGAATTAACTTATCCAGGTTGTCAGGGTTGGGTTATACGTTATTGGCTTAATATGCCTTCAGGCAAAGGCCTAGTTTAGCAGAGGCAATCTGGACGTCGCTCCGATCTGTCAGCACAGAACAATGTTGGCTGAATCCTTGGTATGCCTGCATTTTACCAGGCTACCCTCGTTTTTCTTTTTTCTGCACAGGCCTGAGTCATTCCAAGCCATGCAGGATTACATCTCTTAGGGACTCAGTCTTGTCATGAATTTCGTTCGCAAGTCTGGTCAAGCCAATTGATCAAGCAAGCAACGGTACTGGCAGACGTACCCAATCCGGGTTTGCCTCTGAAAAGCTAGGTACTGCCTGTCTGAATTAATCTCAAAGCTGTAACGCCTAACAGCAGAAACAGTTGGATACGATGTCATGTTAAACTTGCAGCCTCAACCCCCAGGACGACGGCTGCACGACAATTTCTGGGATTTTTCTTCACTGTCCTTCGTCTTTTAGCTTTATTCAGCCTTGTCCTTTTTTGCCGGCATACTCCCCACTCCCCACAGTCATTCAATCTGTTAGGTTTGTTTCTGAAGAGATCTTTTTTCGTCGCCTAGATTGATTTGAGTGTTAATGGCACCAATGTTATTTCCCTATTTTCTATATATAAATATATGTACAAGTAAGTGTATTGATAGAACATGTTTCAAAGCCAGGAAAAACTGTCACACTTCCGAAAGTGACTAGAAGGGCAATGAGTTTACATTGCCCCCTCCCAAGTCCAATACAATTTGAAGGATATATTAATACATGGACAGAAAGATAAGCCCTTGACCAGCCAGCCCGGCGACCGCGGAATCTTCCATGGAGGAGGAGGAATGGAAAAATTTGAGGTGCAATGGAAACACTCTTTGGGGTGCAATATAAACGGTAACTTTACATCCGCGCCAACGGAGATATGATGTTCACTGGGAACAAAAAGCACGACCGCTATATGAGATCTCTGTCGATCTCCGTAAGCCTCTGCGGAAATTCCAAGGTCTCCAATGATTCTCAACGTAGTGCTCTTTTGTTGCTTCCATAGGTGAATGGGGAGAAGTCTAAGACGTTCCTTCCGCCTTTGAACGCATTCCCCGCGCATTATTGAAGGCTGCCAGAGACAATAAAACCATCTGCATCATCGGAGTGACCGGAAGCGGGAAGTCCACCCTCGGCAACATCCTTCTCGGGAGACCAAGAAACGACCCGACCGGATTCAAGACCAGCGCCTACAGCTCCAGCTGCACCCTCGAGGTCGAGTCCCTCGACGGTCGCTGGCTCGGAAACGGTGACGCCATCCGCGTGATAGACACGCCCGGCCACGGAGACGCGTGGGGCCGCGACCAGGAACTCAGGAGAGAGATGGTGTCGTTGCTGGAAATGGAAGGCGCAGTGCATGCTTTCATCTGGGTGAAGAATTCCCAAAAACCAAGATTCGACTTGCTGGAGCTAGAGCATTTCGACCTGTTGAAGGACATTTTTGGAGTCTCCTTTTACATCAACCTGATCGTAGTCTTCAGCAGATGGAGTTTCTATGCGAGACAAGAGAGACTTCGTCGAGACGAAGGAGTGACACTGGAAAAGGCCAAAGAAAGCCTCCACACCTCCCTCGTAGAAAACTTCCCGTGGACCAGGGACCGCCCCGTGCCCATGGCGACCGTCGACGCTTGCTTCGCCGAGGACGATCCCGCAGAAGCGTCTGCCTTCCGAGCCGAAACGGCATCCCTTTGGCGGTTCATCGACCGGCTCGCCGCCAGACCCGTGGAGAGCGTTCAAACGAGGCGCTTCAGAGACCAGCAGATCGAACGGGAGAAGAATCGGCTCCGACACCGAGCCGAAATGGCAAGGAGACAGCTAATGCCGGGAAACACCAGACGAGCCGAACCGGATGGACGATGCAAAGTCCTCTGAAGGGAAATTCCATCTTCATGAATTTTGTCTAACGTCAAAAATTTCCTCTTTCCGCGCTTTCGGCGCAATTGCGTCAGATATTTTTATTCCATCGGCGTATTCATAGTAACGAAAAATCCTTTATTTCTATCACCCATCGCGGTCTCTCGCATTTGCATAATGGAATAAAGAAAATTGCAGGGAGCCGACAATCTCTAATTGATAGCCACTTCTTATATTATTTTCCTTCTACGACATTTCTGACATCGTAAGAATGACTTTCTTATTTTCAAAGAAGAGTAAATCATCGAGATATCAAATAAAGATTGAAAAACGAGATCCTGTTCATCGGAGGAGTTTTATTAATTACTAGCACTATGGTGGCACCATTGGCTACTCATTGAAATAGGAATGTAATAATTCACATGAAATATCCATTTTGACCAATCTAATTAAACATTGGCTCCGTCAAGTAAATTCCCCGTTGTGTGACGTCATTGGCAAACTAACAAGCTGGGTCTTTGAGCTTCCAAAATTGGTCACGCCAAGAGGTACTAATTGGCATTTTAGGTGTCTATACCCGTTCCAATCGTTTTGGAGTAAAAAATTTATAAAATTGCGCTGCGTGGAAATATTCCAGCCCATTTAAACGAGAAGTCGTGAAACGCCAGCAAATTCACGTGAAAAGTCGGACGGACGGGAGCCGTTCGAAACCTTTTTGACCCCCTGATTAATTTTCGGGAGGCCCGCTTCATCCATGATTTTGTGGGCCATTTCAAGATCTGGGAGAAGAAAGTAGAATGCTTCGAGTGATGACACTGCGCAGAAATGGAGTGCGCAGCCAATATAGTTTTCGCTAAGCGCAGATGCCTAGAAGCACGCATTCATCCCTACGACAGGAAACAACTATGCGACGAAGATTGAAGGGGAGAAATGGATGGATAGGGGGGGAATTGAGTTTATATTAACCCGGCCTTCCCCGTTCGTCAAGAAGACGAGCGGAGCCTATCCCCGACGTTCTTCGCCGCAGTTGCGGCAGATGCAGTCGGGAAGCAGAGTCTCTGTCGTTTCGCTCCGGGCTCGGGTCGATGCAGGTCGACGGTATCATCGCTAGCGATTCTATTTGTGAGCTCCTTCGCTTCCGTGGCGCTTTACACTCAAGACGAAAGCGTCCCTTACGAAAATGTCTTATAGGAACCTAAAGGAATCCTATAGGATCCTATATGCCTTATAGAGTTCAGTTTGGGACCTATAGAGTCCCCTATAGAACCTATAGAGTCCCCTATTGAACCTATTGGGTTCCCTATAGAACGTATAGATCCCCCTATGGAACCTATAGGGTTCCTCATAGAACCAATAGAGTTCCCCATAAGGCCTATAGGTTCCCTATAGGACCCAAAGGGTTCGGTATAGGACCCGTAGGGTTCCCTATATAATTCCGAGAACTTTCTTTCCAATCAGATAACAGTTAGGGAAGGAAGAGCCTCCCACCTCCTACGCTCTTGTGACTTGGGAACTTGCCCACATTCCATTCCGACCCCCTCGCAGCAGTCCGCCGTCGACGAGTCGCGCTCCAGTCAGTAGTCAGAGCGAGTCCGTCGTCGACCTGTCAGGACGCGACGGGCACGGCGATCATTTGCTGTCTTTCGCCGCAATCTTCCTCGTCGGCATCGTCTTGAATTTTCTTGTCCTGGCCGCAATCGCTCGCGACCTTCGGCTCCGGACGGTGACGAATCTCTTCATTGCCAACGTCGCTCTCGCCGACATCCTCGTCCTTCTCCTCTGCGTTCCCAACGACGTCGTCGTGGGAATTTTCTACGGTACGCTCCACGTATCCAATTAACCGTCAGGAGGATTCCCTTTCACGGAAACCCTTCTTCTCACTCGTTGTTTTTTGTTCTAATTTTTTTGCATGTCACTCCATTCAGAGCTTTAACTTGATCCTGCCATATTAGCTCGTACTAACACCGCTCGGATTATTTGCTGCTTTAGCTTAAAGGCGGAAAAAGTGGTAGGTATCAATTCCACAACTAAACGATGGCACGAATTCTCAAGTAAAGTTTACCAATCCATGTGAGAAGGAGCGACAGAAAATCTTGGCAAATGCAGAACTGTGTCGACGTTGCACTCTCCGACGCAAGAAGAGCGCGTTTTCCAAAAATAGATCCACTCGTGAAATACCTGGATGATTCTATTAGCTGCGTGATGCAGTTCGCCTCGCAATTAACGTTGGAGCCCTGGCAGATTCAGAATCCTCAGAATCCATTCGCAGGAAAGTCATTTCGTAGGTGAATTCGACATCGTTAGAAATTTCAAGAAATTGGATGCATTGGGATCCCTTTCGCCCAATTTATTACCTGCCTCGTTTTCTATTCATGAATAAAATGCATTATGGCGTTTAACTAATTTCTTTCCTACTCCCTTAAAGAAATGCTTCCTGGATTTGCAGAAGCGCAGTTGGCGTGGTTCCGGTACAAGTTTTTGACGTTCATCCAATTTACGTCGACGGCGGCATCCGCATACAGCCTCGTCGTGGTCTCTGCCGACAGGTCTTCCTCCTATTTCGAGAGTCTTTTCCTGTATTGTGCAATTTTATTATGATGACGATTTCCGATCTCATCAAGTAACGGGTCGTCGCCTATGGAAACCATATCAAGTCGGTATTCGCAGATATCTCTATAGGCCGAGTTTTTTTTGTCTCACGCTACGCGTCGCAATATAGTCAACAAAAAAAGCTATTTAATCACTAATTGTTATTGCAATACATAATGCGCAAGACATACGATGTTTGAGCGATTGCTGCACAGAGGGTTGAGCACAGAGCGCTGACTGAACTCGTAAATTCGTGAAAATGCTACTCGCTTAGCCAAGGCCGACTCGGAGTTCGTCGATGTCTTTCACGGATCGGCTGGTAATTTTGAGTTACTCAACCCACCATTGTACTCATTTATATTTTTTTCACATTTATTGATGTATTTTTTTTTAAAGAATGGATCGAACGGAAATATTTTGAGCAGGAAATCATGTCAAATGGATGACTGATAACTGTAGACGAAGAGGAAAAAGAAGTAAAAGACGTTCCTCAATGTGCAGGTTCCTGGCTATTTTCATCCCGTCGAGGCCGCAGATGACGAAAAAGACGACAGCGGTCTGGATAGGCTTCTCTCCAGCTGCATTTTCATCCCGTTCCCCATCTACTCTGAGGTTCGTTCCTTTCTATTTACCTTCACCGTGTTTCCTTCTTATGGGTTTCTCTCACGTTCGTGCCACCGACCGGTATTCAACTGTCCAACGACTTTAGACCGACGCTCATTCCTTGCATGGCATCTTTTGAAAAGACAACTTGCCGACCGAAATGCCAGCACACTGCACGAGTGGAGAGGCATTGGGGCATTTACTCTCGTCGAGAAATCTTAGTTGTTTCATTTCTTGTCCCTTTGCAATGGCAGACTCACTGCTACAGGCTAGAATTCGGGCCAAACGTTCCTTGAGCATTGACTTTAAAAATCTTTACGATTACATTCTTGCGCCCAAGTTAACTTGTTAAGGTTTCCTCAATTTTATATATTCGGCACAAGAATAGACAACTCGAAAAGCTTTCCACGAGCCCATGATTTCTTTTATTCTGACTTATCATTAGACATATTGAAACTCCAGAGATGATGCAAATTAAAAAGAAGAGTTGTGCAGCATTTTCATTCCAAGGTTGCAAAAACCCTCTTGCAGTACGGCTCTTTAATTCTGAAAAAGAAGGAATTGATATATGAAGCATTAAGCAACAGGAGGCCTGATGTTATGACACGAGACTTTTGCAGGGTCTCGATTGGACAACAGAGGAATGGATACCTTTCTTTCGAAATGGCAGTCTCTATTTTGTAGAATTACGATAGCTAACTTCGTCGGGCAAATTCACCATCTCGATATACGAAGAGAGCAGTACTCACTTGGACTCTCCATGCAGATATTGGAGGGGGGAGCGAATTGCATCAGCACGTGGCCGTCACTCGAAATGGGAAGGATGTACTTCTTGCTGGGGACTGTGGTCTTCTGCTACCTTATCCCCTCGATCCTCATCTTCCTCTGTTATTTTGCCATATGGATGGAAGGTTCCCGGAGGCGAATCCCGACCAACACCAGAGACCCGACCGTATCCCGGCTTCAGCAGAGGCCGGAGGAGGGGCCAAAATTAAAAGTGCTCGTGATTCTCAGCATCGTCTTCTTCCTCTTCTGTGCTCCGTTTTACGTTCTCTTCGTCATCATCGCTTTCCACGAAAGCTTCGTCTTGAAATACTCACACGTCATCAAGTTCTTGATCCTTATCTCCCTGTGGTTGGGTCTGTCCAATTCGTGCATCAAGCCGATCCTCTATGCCTTTCTCAACCAGAAGTTGCGATACGGCTTCTTGGCAGTTCTCCAAAGCTGTAGGTATTGTAGAACTCTGAGAACAGATGATAACTCCCCGGCATTAGCGCTGAACCCATGGGAACAAAGAGGAGCATGTCCTTCCAATGATATTATTGGAGAAGCGATGACCCTCTCCCCCCGCCCTCCCCCCCAAGATGAGCCGAAATACAGCTAAAGTATGGAACTTCAGACATGCAACATAAGGCCCTCCTCTATTGATTTCTTTTTCTTTTTCTTCCCCAATAAGGATAAGAATGACCTCTTCCCCGACTCAGTTGCATCCCTGCGAGGAGGTAAAAGGGAGTAGGGAGCGGAAGGAATTGCCTGGAGCGGACAGGTGAACATGTTTCACTTTAACTTGAACTGTGTAAAGCAAGCGGAGATGAATTCCATTGGTTCAGTCGAATATATATTTGTCCGCATTTTAGGAGAGTTAATGGTACAAAATACAACTCTATTTTGTCCCACTTATAATCCCGAGTATGTTTTCGATTTGGTAGATATGTGTCAACTAGCCACTTTGCAAATTCTTGGTAATGCTTTGTGTAGTTTCAAATGCAACAAAAATAAACAATTTGTATGATGTTATACTATCACATTTTTTGTCATTCAGGCATGAGGGTATTTCCTTTCATCTCGGTCAGCTTCAAGTCAATCTCATCTTGCCCTTCTGGGCATCGAACTCGTGTTCATAGGCTTGTTTTTCACTGGTACATTTCGGCCAATTGGCCCTTTTTGTATTATGGCGATTGAGTTGTTTGGATTCTGTCGCAGCAAGATCCGGGCCAATTGGCCCATTCTCCTCTCTGAGAGGCAAAAAAAGAGCACCTCATACTCAACTAGAGGGAGCCAGAAGCCATAGTATTTTAAAATGACGGGTTTGAAGGTTATTTTCTTCTGTGCGAATAAAGTCTCGTCATTAGAGCCAGCTTTGTGTTTCAAAGATCGTATTACTTCGAAAGAATGGAATGAGAACGGCGAAGCAGTCTGTGAAAATAAATAATTTTATACAGACAGAATGCAATATATAGGAAACAAGTGAATCAAACACGGTACTCTAAAATACATGCTCAGGAAAAATTATCAAAAACATTTTTACTGTTGTACATAGAAAAACAAACAACTGATGAAGGGGAAAATACACTTGAATATGGCTGTGCATAGAACGCTATGCACTTGGTTTCCCCAGGAACCAAAGGTGTGAACCTTATTCAGCTAATGGACTGTGCAGGAATATCCTTTGCGTTTTTAATACTCTCTTCTCATTTTCTCGCAATAGTTCGGGCTCCTGCTGGCCTTAAGGTCTGGCTTCATCGGTGTGATTTTCTCACGTATATACAGGGCGTTTCATTTAAATTGTACATCTCATCATTCGTTAGGTAATGCCTTGATCCAGTGGTGCTGAAAATTTCATGAATGTATCTCATCTCCTTACTAAGATATCAATCGTCAAACCTTAGCCACTTAACTTTTTTCTTTTTTTTTAAGAATAGGAGCTAAATGAGGGACTGGCCCCTTTCCCTGGCGGTGAGTTGACCCCTACGGATTCTCGCCAGTCCCAGTGGAACCCTCCGGCGTGTGGGCTGGCCAAGAGCAAGACCCATACGAAGCTGTTTCTAGGCTATGGGAAGAGGGCCCATAGCCCAGAGGTTCCTCCTGGATATGTAAATTAATTTTAATTTAGTTTTTAATTATTAGATGTTGGAAATAGGACTGAGACCTTGTGGTGAAGCTTATTATTTGGATATTAGCTTGGGGCGAGATGGGAATAGACCCACTTTTACTGGATCATAGGCCCTATCAATTTTAATGGAAGTGTCTTAATTAGGGATGGAATACCTAGGTGGTGCCCCGTTTAACTAATCTAGTCCGGGTGGGCAGGTGCCAGCTGTCAAGGAGAACATTATCAGGCTCCCTGCTTTACCGGGTTTTTAGCTATTTGAGTTATGTAAGGCCGTGGAGATAAGGCTGATGGAAACTGAGTTGCAAGAATGAGTGAGGGAGAAGAGAGTTTGTTCAATGACCATTTATTATACTACATGCCCTTTACAGGAAAAGGATACAAGATGGGGGGAAGTGGAATATACAGGATTGGTTATGGACAGATGGTGGTTCTTCAGAGGTTGTTGAAGTCCAGGTCTTGGGGTTGTAAGGTGGTGTGGAGGTCTAGGGTTTGGGTGGGTCCGCGGCCAGCCACCAGGTGGTGTTGTCAGGCCATGAAGAGAGTCTTAGCTTTATATCTATGTTAACGGCAGCGACGAGGGTGCTGTTGCAGGGGCAAGGCCCTATTGCTGGAAAGAAGCATGGATTGAAAGCATACAGAGAAATACAGGGCAGGATCAGACGCGACATCAGTAGAGGAGATCTTACAGTAGTAGTGCAAGGGGAGAAAGAGAGAGGGGGAGGGACATTATCCACTGACATCTAGTCCATAATGTA